GGCTTTATATTTTTTTCCTTCCTTTGACTTCCCTCAAACTAGCATTTTTTTGTCAGTTTAAATAGAAAGCTTGTTGGGCACAGAGTGTGTCTGGAGGGGACACTGTGGGGAAAATCTGAGGCATGGTCTTCACGCTCTGCATGTTCTGCAAACTCACATACTTAGGCGACAGCCGATCAACTGACTGGAGTCTAAAACCAGAGGAAGTAAAAATTTATTATGTTTTATATAGATGCTGGTGGAAAGATTGGATTAAATATTTTTGTGGAAAGAATGCATTACAACTTTTTTTGGTTTTGTTTAGTACTCTTTCAAATTTTTACCAGTGTTAACAGTTATCTCTTAACTGTTACACTCATAAACTGTTTAAATTTCTCTCTTACTTTGAGTGATGTTGTGAGAGACAGAAGTATTGCTACTCATCTGCATTGGCTCGCCAAGGTCTTCTCTATATTGAAGACGCTTTCTTCCCCCTGTTGTAAGCTGAGAAAGACCGATGCTTCCCCAGAGGCATCTGGCATGCCAGAGGTGGTGATACGGATATACTCTGTTCATGCAAAGTTCCATTTGTCTTGAAGAGGATCATGCAGCATTTCTGAATGTTTGTATTTAAGAAACAAAGGTTTTATTCCTAGTAAACTTGAACGTATTTGCTTTTTTTCACAGGCTTCCAGATTTGGATCTCAAGCAAGTCAAAAGGTGATTATAGATTTAGTTCTGTCTTACTGACTAATTAGCTTTCCATGTTATGTATATATCAGCCTGCACTGATTGATTTAGATTTGATCAGCAGACCAGTGTGTTTATCCTTCATAGTGCACAGTAATTTTTAGGTTCTAGTTTTTATTTCTGTGGGAGTTGTGATCAACTGCAGTGATCAAATTAAGCAGGAAATAAACAGTGATACTCTGCTGTGTATAACAGTCAGCTGTACTGGAGAGGCAGTAGAATGAAATACTTTAATTCATGCTTTTTAAATTCCAATGTAAAAATTTGTAAAAGAACAGGATTCTTGATGTGCCAGAGTTCTGAGAGGGCTTCCATATATTATTGTATAGTATAGGGAGTTTGACTCTCAACTGTAACTCTTCTTGTATATGTAGTAGTAGCTTGGCATGCTTTCTGATATGCATAGGATGCTATTGCTCAAAACAAATGTGAAACTGCAGGTTTTGATGTTCAAAGAGATGTGTGCAGTAGGATATTAGTACTTCAGATAGCAAGCCAAACACGTGCATGTTTGGCACCAGAAATGTCTTGTTAAAGCACCCAAACTTGATACTTACAAGCTTTAAAGTATTTGCTGCTTGGCTTAGCTAAGAAAAACTGAGTGTTCTACAAGTCCCTCCTCTTTCACTCCTTCCAGCAGTTTCCCTTTCAGAAAACTGTTCTTCCTTTTAGTAGTAGTAGCAAATGTAGATATAATACTAAGTGTAAAAGCTCATCACATCTACTGACAAGGACCAGAGGAACATGGTGCTCTAGAGTCTAAGCCCTCTTACTGAAGCTTAGATTTTGTTCCTGGAACATCTGATCTCTTGCGCTGTAGAACAGATTTAACATCTTTTTGATGAATATATTGTTTAAAAGTGTATTTGGTGTCCAGTGACCAAACATTCACTATTTATCTTGTCAGTAGATGTTAAAGTTGGAAAAGGTTCATGCTCCTTAACTTGCCTGAAAAATGCTGCTAATTTTTTGCTAAAAGCTGCTTCTACCTTCCTTGCTTTTTCTCTTTTGCTGTCTGGGTAAAGTTTTGGGGCTACAAGCAGCAGCCAGAGCCGGTAACGCCCTCACGTATTTTCTTGTGCATGGGATCCCTGTCACTGTTCGTGCTGAATATGTGCATTTGCTCTTGAGCTGTGTTTTCATTTTATGCCTTAAGTCAAATCTATGTGTTTCATACAGTTATGTTTCTTCAAACCTATTGAAAATAGGTTAAGCTGGATAGAGCTGTCCAAACTCTGCCCTCTCAGAAAACATGCTGTACTTTTGTCCATGCTCTTCATAAGCACAGATGATTTCAGGATTTCTGTTTGCATGTCTGATCGAGGAATGCAGTACACCGAGAACTACCCCCGGGTGTATTTGAAGGCAGCCTCTTAAATAAATGCCCCATTAGGTTATGTTTGTAATGGTGTAATCCTAAATTCAACAGTAGTAAAGATGAAGAAGCAATTCAGGTGGAAACACAGTTGTAACCAGATCTTCCCTTTCTGTATTTAGAAAATTCTGTGGTTGAGTAAATGGGGTAATATGAAAATTCTCCTTGATTCTAGTAATGACTTCACTTAGAATACCTGAACTGTTCGTCTTACCATATTATATTCTCTATTATGTGGCATAAACAGTTTGCCAGGTTTAATAGGCTCTGAAGGATTTTTTTCAAAGACGAAAAGTCCCCTTTCTTGTTTTTCTTAAACACTTCCAATGGAAACAAGTCTTGTGTGACTTGCATTTGTATTTTTTGCTACGTGGAAATAAGGTTACCTTTTGCCTTTATCTTCTCAAATAACTAATAATAAGGAGTAGAAGTACTGGAGATAATGATGGTTGGGTAGAGAGGAGATTCTGGTAGTGCTCTGGCTGAGGGATAGGCTTTTTCGACACCTGGGAATCTCTGGAGGAGAGATGTTCAAGGTGCCCTGTCCCCAGCAAGAACAGGAATGTCAGAACCAATGTCAGTGATAAGGTATAAACCCTTAGGAAATGAAATTTCATCAGTCTCTGCTAATGTTGAGGAATAATGTTTGTCTGGCAAGCAAATTTGCCCTCTTGGATTAATTGGGCTAATTCAGAAGGTAATCAGTATTCCATGGCAATTCTGAAGAAAAGTTTAGCTCAAAGGTTTATTATTGTAGTAGGGAAAGGAATGATTACACAAGAAACATTTGCAAACCCTGCTGTCTGTGTCAATATCGTCTTAGGAAAGTAATTTTGTGCCTTATATTGTGGGCTTACATTTTTGTAATATGCTTCTAAAGTGAAATATCCTTGTGTGTCTTGTTCTGGATTGCAGTAGGTTTCTGAAGTTCATTGCTTTATCTCCCTGCAAACCTGGAGCTGTAAAAAAGATTATAAAAATCTCTGTCACGGCTTTTCTCCTTGTGTATTACGTAGAAACAATTGTGTAGTTATTAATAGCTGACAAGAGCAGCACTACAAGACAGAAGAACTGGAGAAAAATTGGCCAAAAAGATGTAATTGTACGAGTAATTCCATTAGTAAGGAAAAATAAGGGTGGGTGAGGTCAGTTCTTCCAAATGCTCAGCTGCAGGCACTAGCAGGGGGCCCATCTCTAGGCTATTGCTGAACCATTGCTTCTGCTTCCAGTGCAAGGTCAGACTTCGCTTGGGCTCTGGGCATCTCCAACAACCTATTGCCATGTGCATCTCCTTTTAATTTATTTTCTTTTTACTGCAGCACTGTACTGTGTGTGCTTTTCAGCTCATTCTGCTTGTACGAATCAAAGCTTGAGGCTTCATGTGTTTTTGGAGCTACTGCGGAGAAATTAGCCTGCAGAAGATGTTGGCTGTGCTCTTTTTATTGTTTTGGTTTTTTTTAAAAAAGGGAAAATATAACTGACTTTGTTTTTGTTTTGCTTTTAAATAGGCATCAGAGTTAGGTCAGACATTAAATGAAAATGTTCTCAAACCTGCACAGGAAAAGGTAACTTTGAAACTAGTAAATTACTTGCAGACGTGGTTATGGTGACTTAGGGAGTGATTGGTTCCTCCTGCAACAACTGCCCAGTTTGTCAATGCATCCTTCTCTTTTTTCATGCACTACCACAGTAGCAAAGGGGAAACATTAAATAATCCAAAGCATTAACAAAAAAAGGTTAATGAGGGGAATTTCCCTGCACCAATCTTTTCTATGTCCACAAGAGTCTGTTACAGTCTTCCCCATTAGATGCTATTTTATAAATTTTGTGGTTTCAATAATGGAAGATGGGGCAAGATGAAAATGCACCTTAAATGGATATAAAAACCAGTTACTAAAGAAAATATCATTAGTAGTATCTTTGAGTGTTAAGTTCACCCATCTGCCTACAGTGGTGGTTTTAACTCAGCTAAGCATCTTTGATCCACTGTAGTTTGTCTGCTGCCTCATCGGGGGCAGTAGAATTTGGGGCAAAACGCATGATTATGACGAGTAGAGACAATTTATCAACAGAAGTAACATGTTCTTGCAACCTTTATTGTGTATTTGTTCAGAATATTCTGGTAGTCAGTTAATACTGAGTTTTGCATGGATTCATATACAAAGTGTGGTCTAAAGTAACACTTGGATGAGCTGTTCTGGTTACTGTGGTGTTTTTAGGAAATGAGATTGAAGCAGATTTGCATCTTCCCATGACAGTGTCAGCGACCAAACCCGTGTGGTTGATGGCACTTCCAGCAGCAGTTGGAGGAAGACACAAATGCTGAGCTGAGGAAATACAGATGGTCCCTAGTGGGCATACAAAAAAAGCAAGGCATTCCTCATAAGTGTCTACTGATCACTGATACTTCGAATTTTAGTCAAAGATTCTCCCAAGCGTCAAACGTTGCCTTCCTGTTTCATATGTTTGAAAAAAGTGTGCTTTTACGTCTTTCCCGTTTGGCATGCATTTGTTCTGTGCTTCTAGAATTTTGGATTAGCTCCAAAATTTTGATGAAGTCTTTCCTGAGAATATTGTGCTCTACTTACCTATGTACCTTTCCCCAAAATATATTGGTTTTGATAAAGCTGACTGATTTTTGCTGTTGTAAGAGAAGCAGTGCCACCTCTTTGGGATACAGATTAATTTTCAATTTGAAAATAATGGTTTAATCACACTACAAAAGAATTTCTCTTGCATTACCTTTATTAATTCAACATTCTTTATATGGCATTTCAATTCACAGGAGAAGACTCTAATTGGTTTCCTATCCCCTAGAATTATCCACAATTTATTTCAGAGTGCTTAGATGCATTATTTTCAGGGTTATTTTTAGGGTGCATTTCCTTGAGCTGATTTTTATTTTGTAGGACAGTTTAATGAGAAATGTTGCATTCTATATTAAAAAAAAGAAAAGGGTCTGTTTCCCGTAGGATGCTGTGCTGTTAGTTCTAAATAAGTGTTACTTTCTGAAGTATTCAGTGGTCACTGCCTGACATGATTATAGAAAGTCACTTGCTTTGGAGCAGCTGCTATTTATTAATTTGTGAAAGACACCAATCATTCTGGTTGGCCAAAGTTCAAAGCCCTTTTAATATTTGGATAAGCATGCATAAAAGATAGAGAATAAAATGGATCTGATAGGTTTTTAATCTCTTCAAACCAATCTTTTCATATAGTAAAATATATTTATACAGTACCACATTTGCAGATTTCTTTTTTTGCACTGGTGTTTTTATGCTCAACATCGGTGTAATGATACCTACCTCAAATGTGTGTATATCAGCAGAAAATTCCCACAACCTTCAGAGGGCTGAGCTTCGCTCCATCACACATCAATACACTTTATACGGCATTTTCTTAAATCTGTTAGTTTTGACTTAAGTAAATTTTGATTCCCTTTCAGTTTGGGGTTGTTTGTTTTATGTCACACTTTTTGTTCTTAGCGTTAAGCCCAAGTAAGCTTGTCGTAAGGTTTCAATAATGCTTTGTTTTATGACTAATTACCAATACTTTGAATCACATAGGTGAAAGAGGGGAAAATATTTGAGGAGGTCACCGTGGGGGTATCGCAGTTGGCCAGCAAGGTATGAAGTGGCCTGCCTGCCTTTAAGGAGGCCAAACAGTAAGCCAGTCTCCATATTCTTCCAGAAAGTTTGTAGTGAAACAAAATCACAATGCAGCTTTAGTCTGTGCTTGTGCCAAATACAGGAATTTCGACAGTGTAATTTTCAGTGTTCAGAACTTCTGTTGGGGTGTTAAAAAGCTGTACAGGTACGATGTAGTCCTCACAGTTTCACTGAGGGCATGATGTAGACTTAAAAGACAGTGTTCAAAAAACATCCATTAGAGAATATGGAGACAGCTTGCATTACGTTTGTATGGTTAAACGTACTAATGTTCTGTACATTTTTTCTTTGTCTTCTGCTATCATTGCTTGGTAACGTGGTAAGTGCTCTCTGCAACTAAGTGCAGAAGTCCTGCATGGTCTAATACTTGTTTTGATAACTTGTGCAGTGTTACCTCAGAGGAAGCTCTGTCGTGTACCAGCTTAGGGCCTTAAATGTTGGGAATATTTGGCTTAAATAAGTGATGTTTCCTGGTCAGGCTCTGAATGAATTCATCCTCTGTATATGTGACTTCGAATAGTGACTTTCATGGGTGTCACTTCAGAATTCCTGTTTCTAATCCAATGCCTGTCCATTATAATAACCCCAAAGGGTTCTTCTAGCAGTTGTGTTTATTCCAGAACTCAACTTTTGGCCTGTTCTACATGGGCATTGAAATAATACTACTGAAACAGGATGAAAGCAGTTCTGTAGAACAGTAGAAATATAAATCCTAGTTCTGTGAATCAGAACATCAGTGCTGTCATCAAGTTTAATTTTAGGTGAGGAGTAATTCCAACATTTTTGTGAAGGAAGTCTAGGAGGGAATTCAAAAGCTGTTACTGACAATGATGGGTGAAAGAAGCTGAACTTGACCTACTTTTCACTTCTGCTGTGAGTGAAATTTTCTGATAAAATGTGTTTGCTTTATCTGAACAAGTGGAGGAATGTGTTGTGGCTTTTGCTGTTGCACTTGGAAGAGGTGTTGGTTAAGTCCAGATGAATGCAATGTCTTTTTTTCCCCCTAGGTCCAGGGAGTTGGAAGTAAGGGATGGCGAGATGTCACCACTTTCTTTTCTGGCAAACCAGATGATAACTTTGAAAGGTATTTTTTTTGATTACTATTTTCTGTGTCTTTAAACACATAATTTTATCTCCTGTATGTCCTCTACAGTATAGCAATAGCAGGTAACTTTTTAAATACGAAGAAATTACACTGTCTTTGCTAGTAGTCTGCCTGTATGTAATATGGGAGGAATTCAGTCTGTTTCTTTATGACAGTTGTTAAACTGAGAACAAAACAATGCACAGCACCTTCGCTTTAATTTTTTCCCAAATGCATATCCGCCTGCACTCCCAACTTGGGCCTGTTAGGACTTAAGACTGTTAACAGAAATCTGTGAATGAGAATATAAGCTTATGCCATTTGGAGCAATGTATTTATTTCTTCTGCCTTCATCCTCAGTTTTTGTTTAAGCAAGGGGCAGTAGCGTTACTGTTTTCTTTCATTGTGGTCATTTATGTTTATTGTTATGTTTGTCATAACTAATTTATCCTTTCTTTTCCCTTCCCATAAAAGACCAGCTGAGGGAGAGAGCTACCAGAACAGTGGAGGGGAGGGCTACCAGAACAGTGCTGTAGATCAAAGCTTCTGGGAGACCTTTGGCAACTCCGATCCACCAAAAGCTCATAAATCTCCAAGCAGCGAGAGCTGGACCTATGTGGACAATTCCACAGAGAAGAAGAGCTCCGATAGCTGGGACGTGTGGGGCTCGGGAACGGTCTCCAACAACAAGAACAGTAACAGCGACAGCTGGGAAAACTGGGAGACCAACTGGGAAAACTCAGGAGGGGAGAGCAAGACCAAAAAACCTCCTAAGGCAACAAAAAAGGCGTCTTCGGCTGATGATGGGTGGGATAACCAGAACTGGTAGAACTCTCTTAACCCTGTTTTGCACAGCTAGGAAGGGAGGCTATGCTGTCTGATTGAGGGGGGGGAAGTTTTACGTGCAACTGGAGTATCTTGGTTGACCTTACTGATCTGTTACTTTTGTGCTTTCCATTCATTCTCCTTTCTTCTCTCCTGGTTTAGGAAAAAAAAAAAAAGTAGCATCTGAATCTTTTATTACATAAAAATGGCTCTCCCTTTTTTAAGGAAAGAGATAAATGTATTCTCCTTGCACTGTTGAAGCTGGGTACAGTGGCTTTCTTAACACGAATGTTCAAATGAAAACAATCTGTGCAAGCACACTTTCATGGCACAACCTTGCATGTGTAGGTTAATAGGTATTCATCCAGTCCTCGTATAACGTGAGATGACGAGGTGTTGAATGCACACAAAGGACAGGGTGTGTCTTGAAAAGATAGCCATTAAATAAGCAAACATTCAAACTATTTGAATAGATCAAATGCCTTAGGGATTGCTCTGACCATGTTAAGTCTGGCAATCCAAGATGGTCTTTAAGATATTCATTTTCGAAGCTTTGCTTTTAAACTTTATGAGATATCTTTTTTAGTCTTTTAAAACTTATTTTTTCCCCTTAGAATGAATAAGAAATCTAGAGCTAGATAATTATTTGTGTAAACTCATAGTTTTGACCTGAGCTATCAAGAATGATATCTACTATCTAGAAAGCTGTTGACTATCCAGAATGGCTCTACTTGCCCCTCTTGCTCAGTGCGTTAAGAGTTTGCGCAGTGCAGCTCTCCCGCACAGATGAAATGCAGAGCTGTGGTGTTCTCCTTCCTTACCTACCCCCTTTCCTCAGTTTATTTAAACAGTGCTTTTTCTCTTTCTTCCCTCTACCCATTTATTTTATCTATGCTGATAAAAAGGAAATATTTCTGCTGCTTGTGGCGTTTTGAACATCTGTTTGGCTGCTTGGCAGTGAAACACATTTATAAAAAAGATTCCAGTAGGAAAAACTTAGTGGAAAATATGAGAACATTGAGAGGAGAGGCTGGCAGCAGGCCCCTTTCAAGATGAGTAGATATCTGGATTTAATAGTGAAATTTAAATTAAGCGGATGTTTTCCAAATTAATATGTCAAACTATATCTCTGTTTCTGTCCTGTAATTCTCCACATTTTCTTCCTGGATCTTGTTAGAGAAACACTCTTTTGGAAACTTGAAAAACTCCTTGTCAGCATTAAGGAACAGAATGGAAGATTCAGTCACCTCTCAGTTTTGAGCCAGCAAATTGCTTTGCCTGACACAAACCATAACTTCTGCAGAAGAATTGTGACTTTAATGACAAAGGTGTCCTATGTATCCCGTTTTATTTCGGGGGGGTGTGTTGTAAATGTGCACTCAGCCCGACAAACAGTCACCTCACTTGAAAACTTCAAATCATGACGTTGTTACGTAGTCTGCTTTACTACCAGCATGGAGTTCTTTACTGTGAACCCTGTCAATCTTAATACGTACCTAAAAGGCCTTTTCTTTTTAAAATCAGTTAATTTGTTCAAGCAGCCAACCGAAGTTGTCAAAATTACCTTAAGTAACGCTTCATTACTTTTTTCTTTTCACAGAGGTTTTCAGCTTATAGTAATATCACGAGGCCTTTCCTAAGGGAAGGAAAATCATGAATCATCTCAAAAGTAGCAGATTTTAAAGGCTGAAGTCAAGTAGAAGTAGCTCTCTTTGTAGCCTGATTCTGTGTTTCTATTAGGAGGACCTCTCAGATGGTGAGCAAAATATTTTTCTAGTCTTCTCTAGCCCTGTCCTGCAAGAGTTTGGTTTCTCTTTTTCCCCTCGCTTCTCCTGGCAGTGTGGTCTCGGACGCTCGTGCAGCTGGACCTGGTGCTGCTCTTGGCCCAAGCGCTGCTCCAGGCTGAGCCATGCAGTGCCCGAGGCGGGCTCTGACCCTTTGGGAGAGCTGAAGGCACCGGAGATCGCGGTTTACAATGCTATTGTGGTACCATCAGCAGACGTTTACAGCCTGACTGTAAAACAAGGATTTTGTTCTACTTTTTTCTCCGATTCCCAGTATGCCTTTGTCATAGCTTAACTGCATGTCAAACGTAACGTTGTATTTTTATGCATACCCCTCTGTTGGCTCCTTGTCACTTGTCTGCTGCCCAGTACGAAGCTGTAATGCATGTCCTTGAGAGGCGGTGCTGTGTCACGTGCGTGAAGCGGCGCTGCCCGGTCCTCACTAACGGTTCGTCTTTGTGAAGTGTTGCGGTGACGGCAAAACGCGTCCGATGGGTTGCACTGTCTGACTGCTGGTGTCTGGAGTGGCGTGAAGCTGGTTTAGCTTCCTGTGTACGAACTTATTACGGTTTCTCTTTCATAAACCTCCTGAAATAACTCGTAGCAGGATAAGCCTTATTTCAGTCCATTCAATCAATGGTATTGTGATGTGTATATGTAAGCTCTCCTCAGCTGTGTGGTTTGCCTAGGAGAAATCTGGTTTATTTATGTATCACTTGCAGCTACGATTGGCATGAGCCATTGATTTGTTCTGGTTTTATTTTTGTACCTCTTGAGACTTTTTATTCTAAATTAAACAGCCAGGGCCCTACTTAGGCATAAGCTTTGAGTAACAATTTTTCTACCAGTTGAGGAGACAGTGACAGAAAGTTGTCATCTATTTTTGCAGTGCTGTAGAGAGGCAACAAAATGCTACAACTCCAAGAAAACTGTTAATGGAAGATACTAAAAACCAATATAATGACAAAGTGTAACTGCAGCCACACAACTACTAGACCAACTGGTCTCAGTGGAACAGGGAAATCAGTGGTTTTTTTATGACTTGTCTGAATCTGAACGCTTTAACCATGTCTTCCAGAAGAGAGGATGAAATGAGGGCATTTTCTTTTGCAAAGCCTCTGTTTTATTGTATTTTTTTTTTCCCCAAAGTAGATGGGTGGGAAATCTGTGCAGTCTGGTGGAGCACAAGCAGTCAAAGTGCATGTATGGAGCGACTGCGTATGAATTAGACTTTTTTTGGTTTTTAAATCCCCCTTCCTCTCCCCAGTTCCTCTTTTTTCTGGCCTCATCCTGATTTTTTGGCCTGTAAAGAGAGGCATTGAGTGCAGCCCAGTAAAACTGAGGCCATGAATCTGAGTGAGTGTATGGATTGGCAAGGCTTTAGTGTCTCTGCCTCACCTGTTTCAAGGATGAAGAGGGCTCCGCTTTCCTTTCAGTCTCACACTACGTATTAACAGTTTTAAGTCATACAAACAAATTGCCAGGAGAGAGCGCAGAAAGTGAAACAACTCCTGCAACAATTGGACATTGCAATGTTTGGTTTAAATTTCCAAGTGTTTCAAATGGTTTATTCCTTTGTATGGCTTCAACTTTGGAAAATACAGAGCAGCTGGATTCCTGCAGGTAGTCTGAAGTAAGAAAAACTTCAAGACATTCAAACTAAGTGCCACTTACAAAAGAGTAAGAATGTTCCTCAACCAGGAACCTAATCCTAGAAGTTAGGGATTATTTTTAAATGTCTCATTTGTGTCTTGAAACCTGTTAAAATTACAACATTGAAAGTGCTTGGCCAGCTCTCCCTGATAGTTGAGACCTCAAGGATTATGCTGCTGCTTTTATTTTCCAGGCCAGACTGTGTAACATTCCAGGGGTTCATAATGTATTTATCAGTGTAATGATCTGTGCAATAATTTAACAAGTGTAGGTAAAACCTTTGTTGTTTAATCCAGGATACATTTAAAGATACAGTGGTCCTCTTGGAGAATAGAGGTCTACCAGGGTATTTCGGTTCTCATCTTTGGCAATATTAAATTTCAGTAACCTTGTTAAGAAAAGCTTGAGCAATCAGGGATTTAAACAGAAATCAAGAAACATTTGGATGCCCATTATTAGTATTTGATTGTAATGGCTTAGTGACCTCTAGCTGTAGAGCCCTCTCTCATTTTCCATGCCAGCAGCAACTTGGTCAGTATGGAGTACTGTATCTTTAATATTCCTGATGTGTTTTTTGTGACGTTCACAGGAATGGCAATTTCGGTGAACACTATTCATTGTTCTGTAGAGTGGTACGGGACTTGAACTGCAGTGTCATCTTTTAAAGAGCATTACAATAAAGCAAAGAGATAACGGAGCACAACGGCGTTCAGCCCTTTTTCAGAAGGCTTCAGTTCATTTTAAACCTATGGGCATTACTGTATGTGGCCTTTTGAACGAAATAAGTTAGTTCTTACTATGGTTAGCATCACAGGGTAAACTCCAAATGGGATGTTTCATAATTAAGAAAGTAGGAAAGTATTCTTACAGTATGAGTGTGAAATTGTTGGAGGAGAGTAGCTGACGTTAACAGCATGAGGGTAAGTCCTGATGTGCTGGCGTTGTGCATATTCTTCACTGCCAGTAATGAGGGAGCAAGGAAGCAGCCAGTGTTGATGACAGAGCTAAAACCAAGTGTATCATCTTTATATTTCATTGGCATTTCATAGTCTAAATGCTAATTTAAGATCTGTTTCAATTAGGAACAGTTTTAAGACAACATTGGTTGCCTCCTTTATTTAAAGAGAACTATAAAATAGAAATTAAAGTGGTTGCAAATGGATTATGTACTCTGAGATTTTTATTAGCTTCTCTACAGAGGCATTTATCACAGGAGAGAGGTAACTTTTAAAGCAATTTTCCTTTCCAAGAAGTGAGATTCCTCTGCCCAACCCTTCAGCTGGTGTCAATGCTTCACATTCAGATTCCGGTTTCCTTCGTGAGCCAAGCAGCCACGTGAGTACTCCAGGGCATTGGTGACTGCACTGAGCTTTATGTAAATTTAAAATACCTTTTGCTATGTTCTAGGTCAGCAGGACTGGATCCTGCTTACCTTGCAGAAGTGAGTGAATTGATTTTTACACAAAGAAGTGGACACTTGGATTGGGTATGGCACTGGTATTATTCCACTGCTAATGCTGTGTCCGTTCTCCCCCTAATGCCCTGCATTTTCAGGTGGGATTGCCTCAGGTAAACAGGATATACTGGTTCTGGAGAGAGGGTTTTGGCCCTCTGTTCTGACAGCATATGGAGGCCAGTGGCCTAGAAATGTACAAAATACTCTGGAAGGCAGTAATGTGTATTCTGAACTTCAAGCTGAGCACAATCAGCGAAAGGTGGTAGAAAAATTGGAGTCTGTAGACCAGAAGATACCACA